GTACCAAAGAACAGAAAAATCTGCAGTAGCTGAACATGCCAAAAACAAAGGACATGACATACAATTCGATAAAGTAAAAATACTTAACAAAGAACCTCATTTTGGCAAACGGATGTACAAGGAAGCAATAGAAATCGAAAAATGTCCGGAAAATTTTAACAGAGAAGATGGATGGAAAATCAGCAAAACTTGGTTACCTATCATACACCAGACAAAAAGGAAATTAACCAACAACACCGAAAATAATTCAATATACGAAGAGGCAACAATCAACATAACAAATAATTGCCGGTGTAGGAAAGGAAGACCGAAATGTCAAGAATGCCATAAACAACGTTAGTCAAAAATCGAGATGTGTCAACGACATTAGTCAAAAACTCGAAACGTTCAGCAACATTATTCAAAAACCCGGATACGGTAAACTACATTAGTCAAAAACCAGATGTTATCAATTTTATAAAAGCAGACTGTTATCAAGATAAGCCGCCAGTATAGTTGCAGCCACCGACTAGCAACCATCACTCTGAAGATGGACTCTGCAATGAGTCCGAAACGTCAGAACTCAACTGTAAACATGGATATATCCTCAAGCACTTCAAGCAACAAAACAATCCATGAAAGTTTTAACACATTCGAAATAATAGCAATCATTCCCTAGTAACTTTTGGTGTTTGGAAAGATTTGGCAATTGAAATATTCAGAACTTCATTAATTTTAATGATTTACTTTAACTAAATGAACCAATCAAAACAAAGTTGTTAAAATGATTTACTGAATAGAGCGATATATGCAATTTCATTATAATTGTAAAAATCCATTGTTAATTCAAGAGAAACTAACAATCATTTTCTTAGAAATTATTTATATAGAAACATGTTAACAAAAAATTTGGGATATTATAGCCTAGTAGTAGCACACACAAATAAAGTAAAGTATTATAAAATTACAAAGTAAAATGATTAAATTTTATAGTTGAAACCTATCATATCAAACTTGATACGTCAATTAATACTTTCAAAACATCAGAAATGAATGATTTTTTAAATGTCTGAAATAAGAAATTTCATCTCGCAAGGGACGACTACAGTGATGATCCCTGATCATTATTTAAGTTATTAAATCTAAATGAGATAAAAATCAATAGAGTTGAAAATTTATTCTAACTTAAAAATAATTAAGAAAAAAATTCCTTGATATACGCGGGTTGGAACCTTGTACCCCAAGCGCGTAAGACGCAAGTATTATAGACTCGACAACCGTACGTCGCTTCTGTCGATCGAAAAAAATTGCAATTTAAGCTAGTTCAAATTTCAAAACAACTTAAAAAAAGCAAAAAAGTTTAAATAAGTTTAACCTGCTATGCTATATCAATTTTATTTATATAATATTTATGAAAATCTGTGTAATCCACTTGTCAGTTATTTTTTTTCCATAATAAAGTATATTACATTTTCTTTAATTTAAGATATATATAAAAGTGTCAGACCTTCCGGAANAGCTTCAATTTAAGATATATATAAAAGTGTCAGACCTTCCGGAACACTTTCAAAAGTTAAGTTGAAAAAGTTCTACTTTCTATATACATTTTCAGATTTGAACCCCTTCCCATATATAGGGAAATAGTCTGATTTAAAAAAAAAGTATGTCGAATGAAAGATGTATATAAATACCAGTGTTGAGAAGGAACTGGTTCCAATNAGTGTTGAGAAGGAACTAGTTCCAAAAGGAACGGATTCCTGGAACGAGTTCTTTTTGAAGGAATGATGCTAGGAACTGCTTCCTTTTAAAATAAAGGAACGAGGAAAATGAACAAATTCCATTTTTTAAGGAACGTGAACGGAAATTACAGTTCCTAAAAATTTTTATAAACATGTTTTAGTGTAGTTTTCTTCGTATCTAGACATTAAAATATTAAGGTATTTTTAGTTGACTTTTGACAATGGAAGTTCCCTATATACCCAACCGAGATCGTAGGCTGTTTAAATGAATCAATTGACTATAAATAGAGTTATTATCACATGTAGGTAAATATTTAAACAGTAAATATTTAATATATGTGTACATATATTAAATAATGCACCGAATATTATCGTCATTTCTTGTTAACTAATATATGTTAAAGGTTTTGGGTTTTCTGATTTATTATTTCTAACTTATATGTAGACAATAGACATTGGTCGCGTTGATACAAGTCGTTAGCATTTATTACCTGCTTATAAATATAATTTTCGAATACTTTTAGATAAGGAATACTATAAATTTGTTTTGTATTCGACTGCTGATGAAAATCATTGATGACCGTTATCATGATCTCATTGCCACAATTTTTTAAATAACTTGGTTACATAAAAGGAACGAAGAGTGGAACGAGTTCTTATTTTGGAGGAACTGGATCTGGAACAAGTTCCTTCTTAATATAAAGAATTAGGATCTGGAACGAGTTCATATTTTAGAAAATGAACGGGAACGGAACGAGTTCCATTTAAAAAGGAACATTCCCAACACTGATAAATACTACTTCTCATAAAATAATTGTATTGATCCATACATTTTTAACACGCTTATATTAGTTTCACTTGTATGTGGGATGTTTGTTGTTTGTAACTTTCCACGCGCACGAGATTAGACGGTCGTAACGCATTCAGCCCACCCCACTCTACAGTCGTCGAAAATAATATTTTCCAACCCGTAGTAGACGCGCGCGTCATCAATTATATTAATATATATGTAAATAAATTTTTATTGAGACACGGCCCCGTCACTCGTGCTACCTTTATCAGCCGTCGCCCTACTATTAGTATAAGTGACCATACGCTACGGTGTAAAGTCCACCAAGTGCCGCACGGCCGACGATGACCCGCCGCAAAATGATACGTTGAATCTTCTTCCCGTTGTTAAAGTGGCAACGTCGATGATGTACGCCACCGGCTCCTGACGTGCCGCACGACCGAACCGATCCGCATCCGCGTACCGTCGCCATTAACGCTCCTAACTTTTCGACGCCCGTGAATCTTGCCGGAAACCGCCTATGAAAGTGCCGCGATATTATACGAAGATTATTTTAATTTTGTCCAATTCGTATAATATATATATATCGTTATAATTTTTTTGTTTTAATTTCTTCAATATATTAACATACGAATTAAATAATCTATAAAATCGAATTAATTTCTAAATAATTCATATTAATGAATATTTGTTTTTACTACAATTCTATTGTACAAATAAAAACAACTCGAATAAAAAAAATTTAAGTTCTATATAACTGCGTTTTGAGTTTTGTATTTAAACATTTTTGTGTTTATTTAAAACACCAAGGTTTTTAGAAGTTTAATAAATTCTATTGACATACTGGTCATGAACCTTTTTACGCACATTTTGATGTCCCAACTAATAAGCAGTTATTTTTGGGAAACAGAGTAATGATGCATAATTACGCGAGTTTTTTCCAAATAAATATTTCAGTATGGGGCCAAAGCTCAATAGTTACGCTAACCTAAACGTGTGCTGCTTTCCTTGGATGTGGTACCCGTTTCTCAGCTCCCTCCCCGGAATCGAACCCTGATTTCCCGTTACCCATTACAACCATGATATTGATAGTAATTACTATCATAACATGAAACTAAAAAGTGAAAAATAAATATAGTTTAAAAGCGTGTTTTTTTAGTTTTTTTAAACTATATTTATTTTAAAAAGTTATAGCATTTTAAAATATAAAATCGAGAATTTCCATACAAAAATAGCATTCAATAGCCATTTTCACCATGAAGACAAAATAAAATCAGAAATTTTTTTTTTCATAACATAGTACATTAAATTAGCTTTAATTTAAGATATATATATATATAAGTGTTAGACTTTCCGGAACACTTTCAAAAGTTAAGTTGAAAAAGTTGTCATTTTAAATACCTCTTGTGGGCAGATTAAGGATTAAATTAAAAAAATATATATACCAAATGATAGGTAAAGACATCAAGCATTTATAAAAAAAAATTATATTGATTTGTTCATTTTTGAAAAAGTAATGGTAGTTTTAAGAAAAAAAAAAATGAAAAATTTCGAAAATTAGCAATTTTTAAATTTGTAATTTTTTTGGAGGTTTCCCTCAATTAATGGGAAAGAGTGAAATTTTTTCAATTTTTGAGGGTAATGTCTTCGACTAGATACGATTTGTGATCTTTTGACGTATCGTTGAAAGAAATCCGTTCGGTGAGAGCTTAGAAAAAGTAGTAACAAAAAAAAAAAAAAAAAAAAAAGAAAATGCATAGTAAAACCAATACCTTTTCAGCTTCGCATCGAAGCTAAAATGTAATTGTATTAGTAATAAATTATTATTATTAAAAAGTAATATATTAATTAAAATAAACATTTTAATATAAAAAATCAAGTTTTATGAATTTAAAATTCATGAATATTCATTTATATTATTACAATAAATTGCAAACAATCGTTTATCGTTTTTTAAATGTACACGTTTATTGAACTTATATATAGTGTTCATCGAATAATTAAATTTTGTCTATATAATATGTTTGACGCAAAAGGGACGGTCTGCGATGACTGAACACGACAGCCGACCTTGATGCGTTATAATCTTTATTTTTGAGCCCTCTGTAAAAAAGTTTACTGTAAATGAAACTTCTTTATAGACAAATAATATGTTTCCATTTATCACTGCATAGTTGCCTCTAAATTCTATTCTTAGAATTATTATTTTTTACAATAAACTTATTATTTACTATAGTTTAGAATTAAATAAAAATGTATTTAGTATATTTGTATTATGATATAATCATTAATAGAAATTTCATTAATCCCTTTTTTATGATTATACTACAGAATTACATACTAGTAATATTTCAAGTTTACTTATTAAGACTAACTTAAATTTTACACAGCTAATTTTATTAATATAAAAGTTTAGGATGTAGCTTTAGACAGAGATCAAAATAAATTTTAAAAGGTTACCCAAATATAAGAGAGAGCATAGATGTACATACCTAGGGAAAAATAATCGTTTTTTTTCTAAGTATTCGTTTAATCCTTTTTGTATCTGTTCAAACATAACACTACAGTTTTGAAGTGACTGTAACATATTTGAATATGCTGTAGCTTCTAAAACTTTTCGTTTATTAGCCGTATTTATCATTATTTGACGCCATATTGCATCAACTACTCTAAAATTACGCGCTTCTTCAGGCATTTGACGATTTATATCTTCTGAACTAAATATTGGTCCTAAATACATCCAAATTCGTTGAACCTTTAAAATTTTAATTTAATATATTATGATGAATTTAATTATGTAGATTATGTAGATATACACACCCCAATCCAAAGATCTAAGATTTCTTGCATTAAAACTAACTTTTTTTCCCAATCATCCATATCTGCCTCAAATGGTTTTATATAAGCTGACCCATGCATTGTTTGTGCTTTCAGTATATGATCATCCAGCATAACTTGAATATCATCTAGTGACGTTAAAATACAAACGCCACTATCTCGGTATGGTGTACATTCAAATTCAATATTCAACCATTCTTCTTTCATTTTTCGTAAATTATGTTCCAATGTGAATTCTCTAGATGCGGTAGTGTTAATTTCTTCTAAACGTTCAATGTGGTTTGTCAAACCTATCTCAATCATTTCTGCGAGTGTGGATGATTCATTCGGATGTAAATCCATACCAACACTTTTACTTATCTATTTTAATTGATTATATGAATATTATAGATAAAATGTATAAAACTAATTAAATACTTCTTTCCAATGACGCTCGTGTATTCCTGGGTTGCAAACAGTTTCTAACACAGGTATGTATTTTTTGAAATTTTCAACTTTTCCTCTTACTATTTCAGCTACCCTTTTTGATCCGGGATAATCTTGTAAAGTTCTTGCTAATTTATAAAGATTTTTCCACATATTATCAACAGTATCTTTTATTTCTATTGCATTAAGTTGATAAAAGGGCCCTTTTAAATAACAAACAATCTATTTAAATGCTATTATACAATAATTGATTTTATTAGAAAATTTACCATTTAACCATTTTTCATAGTTATAATGAAAATCACGAACAATATCCCACAAGCGATCAAATGGTTCAGTGGCTGACACCATAGAGTGAAGTTGAGTATAAGATGTAATTTCAAAATCAAGCAATTGTTCTGTGTTATTAATACTCTAAAGTTAAAAGAATGCTCATTTTTATTTCATGGACTATGTTTTTACCTCTTGCTAGACAAAGATTCTTAACTTTTGTATAGATTCTGGTATAAATGGTTAGACTAACGTCTAAAAGATTTATGATAATTCTTATCGTAAAATAATCGTTTAATAAACGATTTTGGATAATCCAGAAAATAAATTACTTACTGAATATTAAACAAGTGACAGAATGACTTAAAGCCCTTGGATTTATTATCACACCACCAAATAAAAAATTAAGTACAGACAGTATCAGATATAATGGAGTTGAGGTATATTTCAGTCTATAACTGATAAATAACTGTCATGAGTCCCTTTGATATGTATGTGCATGAAAATAAAGTATGTGTAATATTAAATGTTATACATTTATAATTTATAATTGTAGTCGAAATCATTTTTGATAATTTTATGAAATAATTTACATAAATACCTACAAATTGGCAGTTTTTAGTGGTATGGTTTATAAATAAATTAATATTCTGATGAAATAAAATAGATTTGTGAGTCAAATTAATTTTCTAAGGAACATAAAATAAGAGAGGCAATAGATAATGTTTAAAAATAATAGTAAATTAATCAATTGGAATATTGGCTCACTGTAAATTCACTATTAAAATTGAGTAAAATGGCAATACTTGACAATCGATTAAATAATATCACTAAGCGATATCATTGTTTCCAAAATACGTATAAGCGATTTTTTAAAACTTTTTGTGTTAAAAATATTTTATAGTTTTAAATTAATATTTTATTAATAATATTTGTCATTAATGATCAATTTTTATAAAGAATTAATTTTTTTTTTTTCAAAATTGTATATTTATAATATTTATTTATTATTATTTTTCAAGCATAGGCGTATATACGGTGGCAGCCTTGGGTTCCTGGGCTGAAACTGCAAATTTATAAAGCGCCGGTAATCGGAGTTCTAAGAAAAAAATTCAAAAAATTCCTTGACATACACGGGTTGGAACCTTGTACCCCAAGCGCGTAAGACGCAAGTATTATAGACTCGACAACCGTACGTCGCTTCTGTCGATTGAAAAAAATGGCAATTTAAGCTAGTTCAAATCTCAAAACAACTTAAAAAAGCAAATAAGTTTAACCTGCTATGCTATATCAATTTTATTTATATAATATTTATGAAAATCTGTGTACTCCACTTGTCAGGTATTTTATAATAAAATAAAATACAAAACCCAGAATTTTAACACAAAAATAGCATATTTTTTTTTCCGTAATAAAGTATATTACATATTCTTTAATTTAAGATATATATATATATATAAGTGACAGTATTTCTGGAACACTTTAAAAAATTTAATTAAAAATGTTCTAGTTTCAATACGCATGTTTAAAGTTTTGACACCCTTGTATAAAGGGGTATGATCCGATTTACAAAAAAAATGTGTCAGATGAAAGGGGTATATAAAAATTTATTATAAAAATATTCATCCATACATTTTCCGAAAGTTATAGCAATATAATGTTAAAAAAGCTAGTTCAAATATCAAAATTATTTTTCTCGACTCCAAAAAGCAAATAAATTTATATAAGTTTAACTTTCTATGCTATATCAATTCTTTATTTATATAATATTTATAAAAATCTGTACTCCCTTTGACAGGTATTTTAAAATAAAAACAGTAGAACAGTGGGGTCGAGGCACAGTGCGGATGAGGCATAGATGGGACAAGTATAGATGATATCTGACAGTGATTAAAATCACTATTATAAGAAACGCTTCGATGCATATCTGTAGACAGTGTTTAATTAAAAACAAAAAATTTGTTAAAATAGATTTTTTTTGAATACGGTAGCCATTTGCGCATAGAAGATTGGTCGTCGGGAACAAATTTTTTTTTTATTTTATAGCACATAAAATAAGCTTTAATTTGATATATGTTTAAAGGACGCAGTATTTTCGGAACATTTGCAAAAATTAAGTTGAAAAAGTTATTTTTTGTAAAAAAGTTGCTATTTTAAATCCCCCCCCCATGAGCAGTTTAAGAGTTAGATTTTCAACAAAATGATATCAAACGAAAGAGAAATATCTAAGGTTTTAGTTGAAAAAAAATTATGTTGATTTGTTTATTTTTCAAAATGTTATGGAAGTTTTAAGAAAAAAAGTGAAAAAATGACAAAATTTACTGATTTTTAAATTTGTAATTTTTTTGGATATTTCCCCCATTTTCGGGGAACGAGGGAATTTTTTTCAATTTTTAAGGGTAATGTCTCCAACTAGATACGATTTGTGATCTTTTGACGTACTTTTGAAAGAAATCGGTCCAGTGAGAGCTGAGAAAAAGTGGTAATAGACACAAAAAAAACACATCATAGTAAAACCAATACATTCTCAGCTTCGCATCGAAGCTAAAAAACACATCATAGTAAAATTAGTACCTTTTCAACTTCGCATCGAAGCTAAAATGAGGAGCCGCTGAAGAACGTGATCGCAAGAAACTTAAATTAAATCATATTGTTCAAACTTGTCAAAATTAAAAGCCTTTTTTAAATCAAAGAATAAAAACAACTATGATCTTAATGAACCTACTTCATACATGGTATGATAAAATATTTTATTTATTAGATTTTTATTTAGTTTTTTACATTTTTGCGTCAACACATCCCAATAGTACTGTGTTCAGTGTTTTTTCAGAAATTTTACGTTGGTGTGGGACAAATGATTGAAAAATATATAATAAATAAAAAATATATGTAGGTTTTTTAATTTGAAATTAAGCGATATATCTATTAGTTTTATTATGATGTTTATTTTTCTTCTGTAGACACTTTTGGAGGCAGTAAACTTTGTTCAAAAGTTACGATACCCCATCTACAGATCAGAAATTGTATACAGGAGATAATTTTAAGGTTAATATTTATTTATTCTAAACAGTGTAAGAAGCCTAAGAAAAAACTGTCAACAAATCGAGTAAAATAACGCCATAAACGAAATTTTCGGTAAATTAATTTTAGTTTTTAAACTATTTAGTTTAACTTTTAAACTAGTTTAAAAGTACTATCGCTAGAAACTTGAAATGTTTACCACATATTAACAATAAATACACTTGTAAAAACTTAAACAAAGTAATTATGTGCTAAAAAAGATGTTGAAATTTCGAGTTTTTTTTATAAAAATTATTATGCTGTACAATTTGTGATTAAAAAAACTGAGCATTAAATATGAATTCACTCAAATACCCTTACAACAATTCTCAATCATAACATTTAAAAAAGTAAAATAGTTAATTGCAAATTGTGGTTCATTAACGCAAATAGGTAGAAATTAATTTAAAACAATTTACTAGAAGACAAGTTATTTCATTTGACAAATAATTGTGGGCCTATTAATAATTGTATATTTATAGCTTGTAGAAACTTAAGAAAAGTTTCAAAAAAAACTAACCATCATATAATTGATTTTACAGAATGAAAATAATGAAAAAAATATAATTTGTAATCATCCTGCAACTGAACCTGATGTAAGTTATTCCTCCACTTATGTATGATTAGTTAACTATTTTTTTTTTTTAGAACTTCAACAGCCAAACAAAAGATAAATTGTGTCTAGACAGAGAAGATATACAAAACAGTTTAGAAGTTACTAATGAAGTCTCAGGTTAATACTTATAATTTTTTTTACATTTAAAATTTGTTTTTCTTATATTTAAATAAAAGTTTAAATCAATATTCAATAATGTATGTATGGGCATTTTTAATTTGTTTCAGGGTTAAATTTTCTATAAATGATGTTACAGTTAAGTTACTAACCAATCGTCTTGAATTTAAACAAAGAGTTAATCATCCGATTTTAAATATCTACCCCAAAACTTTACAAGTAAGTAAACAGCGTTCGTTTCAAAAATCATGGTATGAAATGTACAGTTGGTTTATTGGAATATAGTCCAGCGGTTGATGCATCATTTTGTTTTGCGTGTCGTTGTTTTAATGGAAATTAATCTAATATTGGTTAGACCGAAATAATTTTTTCTACAACAGGGTTTAATAGTTGGTACAGGGCTTCTGAAAGATTAAAATCTCACCAAATGTCATAAGGTCATACAAATAGTACAACAGCAATTAATAATTTTTATTCTAATAAATCTATTGATGAAGTAATTAATATTGAAATTACAAAACACTCATATTGCTGTTATGGCAGACGAAACCAGCGGCATTGGTCACAACGAGTAACTCTCAGTGTTTTTTCGCTATTTTGATACCAAAACTAACCGCTCAGTAAAAAAATCTATTACTTTGAGACTTATGTTGTCTGTAAATGCAGAATCAATTTTTAATATGCTTGATGATGTAATTACTTGTTAATTTAAGTTAAATTGGACGAATATAGTTGCAGTATGTTTTGATGGAGCAGCAACTATGACAGGTAGTATTAATAGAGTTCAAGCCAAATGCAAGAGTAAAAATGAAAATATTTTACATGTGCACTGTTATGCACATTGTTTAAATATAACTTTAATGGATGCTGTTTGTGCTAATGCAAAGTATAGTGAAGTAAATAAATGTGTCTTTGATTTTCTTGGAACTATGAAATTTATTTATTCTTTTATCAAAAGAAGTCCAATAAGACATGTAGTATTTGAAGGATTTGCCAAAGTATATGGTGCTAAAGTACAAAAGTTGAAATCTATGTCACAAACTAGTTGGGCTTGTCGCGCTGAGGAAATAAATGCAGTTAGAAAAATTACAAAGCTCTTTAAGTACATTGGAAGAGATAAATTCTAAATGTTTGATACCTAAAGCAAAAGCTAAAAGTAGTGGACTTCATTATCAAACTTAAATCATTTGAGTTTATTTATTGTTTAAATTTAATGCAAACAATTTTACAAATGATATTAAAAGTAAGTTCATCTTTACAAACTCCAAACTTAGAACTTTTTACTGCCGTTTCACTTATACATGCCTTAAGATCTTCATTGAATTCATTAAGAAATTAACTCAAGAAATTCAGTCTATATTTATTAGAACGGAACAAATGTGCAATGAAAACAATATTGAAATACCAACAGTAAAGAATAGAAAGGTTTCAGAAAAGAGAAGTAATTTACAACATTCCACACCACAGCATAACTATCTGACAAAGAGTGAAGAAATGAAAGTAACTGTTGTTTTCCCATTATTAGATGTGTTATTATCTGGAATTGATGATAGATTTAAACAAGAAACATCGGATTTAATAACTATAATTGGAAAAATAATTATCTTAGAGTTAAATAATGATTCGCCTTGTTTATACATACTTAATAATTTGCTAAATGTTCAAACTCTAGAGCTTCTTGTAGAAATTAGTATTTTGAAAAGTATTGAGGACACACCAAAAAGGAACATCATCAGATTGCATTTATAAGTGGATTGATTGGTTAGTAGTACGAGGAAGATGCGATACTTTTATGATAAAACATTTTATGATTGTCTGAAATATTTTGTGATTATACCAGTGACCAGTTGTGGATGTGAAAGGAGTTTTTCAAAAATGTCCATAATCAAAACAAAGTTAAGAAGCACCATGACACAAGGAAGGCTCAATGCTTTATTATTTTTATTTATCGAACAAGAATTGGTGAGTAATATCAATATTGATAAAGTGATTAATGATTTCAAAAATGTTTCATCCTAAAGAAGACTTGTTCTTTGAAAGATATCATAGAAATTAAAATATTTTAAATATTATGTAAAGTTACTATTATTATTTTTACTTGTTATGCAGATATTATATAAGGAACTTTGTTAATTTTTACTAAATATACGCACACTTTACATATTTTGTTAATAATGTAACTTATTATACATTGTGAAAAATGTAAAGCTAATACAATAGTTTTTGTTTAAATTTACATAATTAAAAAGAAGATAACTAGATTAAAGTGTATCTATGTAGTTTAATAGATAAATAATATTTCTGGAGTTAAATTTAAAGGTAGGTACTGAAAACACTGCATTGTTACTGCAAATAGAAAATTATATTTTTTTAAATTAATTCGAAGGACTTACCCCCCTCCCCCTCAAATCGTGATTTTGAGTTTAAGGGTTTTTTTGGTTTATGAAAGTAGTGCCGGTCATAAGCTAGGCTGCCCCTGCGGATGAAGTCTGGTCACGCCTATGTTTTTAAGTTAAAATTAAAATAATTTCTTATACCTTTGCTATAGTTAAATCTTCATTCAAGTAATTTGTGAGTTGTTTTACTTCATCAAATGCATTTAATATTTCATCATTTGATAAAATTGGTGGATCTTTTCTTTTGATGTTATCCAGTAGTTTTAAATGATTTTTGAGACTAAAAAATAATATAATGAAATAATTTATTTATTAAATACTTTTATTTTTTACTCTAATTCAAATTCAGTTTTTTTCGTTTTTAATTGACCTTCAACAACTCCTTTTTTTTGTATTACTCTACTTGTTGCTAAGTCTAAAAATTGATCAATTTCTTGAGGCCAACGAAACACTCGTGATGACTTATTTATAAAATCATCTAAATCAAACAAGAAAAATTATACTCAAATAAAATATACAATGTGAAATTTATAAAAATAATATTAAATCTAATAAGAAATACAATTGAATCGATGATTGCAAAAATGACATGAGTGACATTTTTTGGGAAATTCAGATATTAGCAAAAACACATGCTAGTCATCTGTTTTTATGTGTTGAGTGGAAAAATGGCTTCAGTCATAACGTTTTTACCTATAAGATTATTATCAAAACATATGGTTGAGAGCAAAAACGTCTTGTGTCGTTTTTACGCTCAACAGTAAATAAACACTTACACGTATCTATTTATAAATCAGTAATTTTAAGATTGAATAGGACCTAAATATTTAATTAACTCTCAGATCCTGACAATAATATAATGTTTTATGTGCAATTAAGAATACAAAGAAATTATTTTCTTATAAGCGCTAAGCCAAGCAGTTTTATACTATACTGAAAAGTTCTAGGGATGAATGTAAAATACATAATAATCTTTTATGACTCACATTTGATTACATGCAAAACTTACAACTGCCTAAAATACCCGTACAAGATCTTTTTTACCTTCGCCAACTTACAATTAATTTGTTTGGAATTCATGATATGAAATCAGGAGATTCAATGTTTTTTTTTATATCACGAAGCGTATAAAAGCCCTAATGAAGTATCTACATTTTTGCTTACATATATTCAACAATGTGTTCCACCAGAAGTGAAAGAATTAAGATTATTTATTAACAATTGTCCTGGACAAACTAAAAATAATACTGTTGAACGATTTTGTCAAGCTTTAGTTGATACGGGTCGGTTCGAAATAGTAGAACATTATTTTCCTATAGAAGGGCATTTTTTCTTAGATTATGATAGAGATTTTGGTGTGATAAAACGTACTTAAAGAAAAATTGATAGAATTTATACACTACGTGAATATCTCGAGTTAATAATTCAGTCTAGTAATAAAAACAAGTTCAAAGTCCAACTTATAACACATTCAGACATTTTTAATTTTAAATCATGGTGGAATAAATATTATAAAAAAACATGCAATTCGGTAGAATCTTCAAAAAGATCAGTTCCACGTAAAAAAAAGGTTTGTTTAAATGTATCATTTTTTCACCAATGCATTGACACAGCACCGCCTTTTGCTCTAGGTTGACGCTCACCCGTGTATCTCTCAATATCAGCCGTCCAGCCATTAATATGACAATCGATTGTCATCGGTAGTCTCCCCGCCCTTGACACAGAGATAAGGCCGCCGACGAATATGGATTACTGATATTGCGGGCTGTTCCGTTTCCGACGTTAACATTGACTGGTTGTTGCGTTCTTCTTTTTGGTTGCTTTTTGGTGCGTGACTTTGCATTGTGTTTTTCTTTCCTTTTGTGAAGTGAACTTTCCAGCGGTATATCAAAATATATTTATATGGGTGTCTACCTATTATAATATAGATAGATATTTTATACACTTAAATAAAACCCGTGCGGCTTTATTAACTGGATACGCGATAACATTTATAAGAGGGGAATGGTAACAACTAGTGAAATTATTAAGAGCACCAATAAACATACTTTCTGGTTAACACTACCCGGAACAAACCAAATTGAACTACCAACAGAAAATTATAAAGATATTTTACCTATAAATTAAAATAAAATGAAGAATATAAAAAAATCAGCATCTTACATAGCTCCTTCTAAAATAAATAATTCGTTTTGGAATAAAGTTTTGAACTGACGAAAAATTGAAAAATAAATTCAGAATTTATGTAAAAATATAAAAATATAGTAAAATAAGTTTTTATGTATCAATAATTTATTAATTAATTATTGTGATAATGTACACCTATAATCTAAAATAAAATAATTTTCCATATATTAAAACAATTTTTTGTTTGCTATATTTACATTTAATGGAAAAAAGTCATGAGTCAGTAAACTTTGAAAAACAATAGTAAAAAAACATCATATTATTTATATACACAAATTATGTATAATCAATGCATAATATATTTCTACAAGTATTCATTTTTAAATAAAAATTTTTTTCAGAATTATTTATATTATACACTTTTTATCAATTATCCAAAAGTTCTAAAAACTGTACTCATGTCGTTTCTGCAATCATCGATTTAATTAATAACTAATTTAGGAAGTGGAACTATATCTATAAAATCGGAATATAAGACAAGGACTTTTATAATATATTTATAATTGTTAATAAGATAAAGTATATGAAAAACTATAATATAATTTATACCGATTTCTATATTAAATATTATGTCCGACAAAGTTTTGACAAATCCATATACTTTTCTTATAGAGACTTATCAAAACCTTAACACAACCTCAAATGGCACAACTTATATATTAATAAAGAGTGAAAAAGTATATGGATCTTTTAAAAATGATATATTGTTTTCCTAAACATTTTTGTTTGTAAAGTTTTTTTTTGTAAGTGTATCAATTTTACTATAAATGTTTCATCTATGAGCAGGATTTACTTAAAATAATTATTTTAATGATAATTTTCTTAAAAAGTGGGAATGGTTAATTATAATTAGTAAAAAAAAACGGTAGCATAGTAGGGTCGCGGCACAATGTGAATGTGGCATAGTTCGGATAAGTATATATAATATCTGTCAGTGATTAAAATGACTATCATAAGAAACGCTTCGATGCAAATCTGTAGATAGTGTTTAATTTTAATAAAATTAGTGGATTATTCCAAAAGCAAAATTAACTCTTATTTCCTTCATTATTCCTAATTAGTAGTTTTTTTTGATTTAGAAGTATTGTTTGACCGTGCCGCTCCTGACCAGCGGTTGGCGGCAACGATACTAGCACTATCTTTAATGAGCAATAAAGTAAATAATTTCTTGTCTCCTTCTTATACACTGTAAAATATATTACACTTAATAACAATACAAAAAAAAAACAAATAACTTTAAATCAACTGTATTTATAATCATATAAATGTGGAAAGGGTTCTACCCAGCGGAGCAGCTTTCTTCTTCAAATTGCGAGAAATCCCAAACCGTACGTAAGGTGTACGTTTGAAAGCCTGAATAATTCCTATTCGCTTGTTCTAGCTGAACATAACAATGACAAGACGTTTTTAACGAGCGCGAATAAAACCAATACGCGAATGAACATAAAAAAAGGGTAAAAACCAACCACAGCGACGAGACGCTGAACAACGACACACGCCGAACCAAACGCAATATTGGCGGGACGTTATCCGAGCTGATAACGCCGCAACATAACCAGCTATTACCAGGGTAGCTCACTGGTACCAACTGACGGTATCTTTGGCGTTTGCTTGAACAAGTATTATATATAAATAAATATTTATTATAGCAATTAAATTAGTATGAGATTGATATTTAATAATTTAATGTTTTTGGCAGATGAGCAGGGCGTTCCGAACGGGAGTGAGATGGGTGAGTTGGTGGTAGAGGGGTGCTTACCCCAACCTATTTTTGTCTGTCGGCAAATCGCAAATTTAGTGAAAAATCTGATATAGCCGGCAAAACGCAATTCATAATCAACCCAATAAAATCGTGTCGACTGTGTTTATTCTATTTTTGATGATAAAGTGTAGTCATTGGAAATAGAAACCATAGGTCCATTTTAATATTTTATTACCTTTCATTCGTAAACAATGTACACTGTAAACGATCTATTATCTGTTGTAGGGTTGGCCGAAGGATATTATCTGGAGATTTCTCAAAATACCCGTGTTATCGACGTTACGCGTATGTATGGGCCGCCATAATCGGGTATCGTCATATTGACTGTCTTGTGGGCGCGTGTCTTTTATTTTGTTTTATAACGAAAGTCGTGTACAGTTTTGATTTTTGTGAAATGTTTAAAATTTTTACACGTTTCTCTTAATAATCCCTTAATAATTCTCTTAATACAACTCGTTAAGTTGCAGTGCTCTTTAGTAATATGGTAATTGCCATTTGATGTTTGATTTTTAATTGAAGTATTTTTTGGATAAAAGGTATAGTTATTTTCATTTAATTATTTTTATTGCTCTAGTATATCTTTAATTGTAAAGCAGTATTCGAAAACTGATTTTTCGCGGGCCGAACATACGATTTGTATTTCTACCTTCATTATCTATACGCCTGCGCTTTGCTCTAACATGACCTAGACAACATTTTTCACATTTTCTGAAATAATTAAAAAATGTTACTATAAATGAACATGTTATACATTTCTTTTCTGTCCGGCCCACAAATCTTTTTAATTTGGCACATGAGTTGCAAAAAGTCACCGAAAACTATTGTAAGGCAACAAGTATAAATGAAATTTTATCTAAATATTTAATATTATTTTATTACATCGGGTTTTTCATCATTATTGTTTAATTATTTAAAGTAATTGGGAAGAAATATGTTTTTAAAAATGTGTTTTCATAAAAAGAACATTTTCTTATTTCTTTAATTTGCCTTATAATAAAATTATTGTTACGTTTCGTGAATAGAAAAAAAAATTACTGTGTGTAGTTTGTTGGTTTTGAGTAACATTAATTGTATATTTAACAGTTATGAATACCTATAATATTATGAATAAGAGAAAACGTATTCAAATGGAATGTGAAGAATGCGGTAGCCAGTTTGACAACTACTATAAATATCGTCATGAAAAATCAGTACATCATGGTAAAAAGATCAAAGTTAAACAATTTGGTGCAACATTAAATCCATTTAAAGCTTCTAAGATATAAGGTACTGTTAGTTCTCCAGTAGTTTCTTTTATAAGTTGTTTCTTCCTAGTTTGTCACGCAATCTCCATCTCTATCTTTCGCAGTTGAAACGTCTTCTGATATTTTTCAGTGGTCGAATCATCGTTTATTACTGATTTGTCTCCCATTGCTTTTAGTGATATCACTGATGAGCCATTATTTGTGGAAAATTATGAAAATGTAGATATAGAAAGACCTACAAAGATTGAAACCAGTAAAACTATGCTTGAAGATGACTCAATTTCT